ATTAGTGGTAGGAAAAGGAGACTGAATCGTAAATCTACTGGCCCCTGCAAGTCAGTGCAGGGGATATCGCTTTCAATAAGCCACTACGACTCTGAATGGAAGTAGAGTGCCTGTCGCATTCCAGAAGAGGATGGCAAAATTTTCATAGTATTCACCTTAGTCTTTTCAAGCCCAGGCGAACTTACTATAGAGTAAGACGTAGGAAATAAGTCGAAGTTTAGCTGAAACCGCGACAAACAAACGGCAACAAAAGTCCCTCATTTCGTGAATATAGGGACTAAAACTCTACATAGGCTAAGGGGGGGGGTACCTCGACCGATTGGCTTTCCCATGAGCTTGGCGGCGAAACAACCAATGCACCAGCTTTTGTTTGACCGAGGAAAGGTATCTTACACTTATCAAACGATTTTTGAAATGAACAGTAAAGTGGCAGCGATGAGGAAAGCACACCATTGGGCCCGGCTCCGCCCACACCAACAGCGTGATTTGTGCTTTGGGGCTACACTTTTAGAGAAGGTCGCTAGAGCTAAGTATGACGCCTGTTGGCAGACACTTGCTGGGCCAAACCCAGTATGAATGCCACACTCATAAACTTTGAAAATCACACATCCCCACAATAATTGCTGAAAATTTCAAATGACTCACTATTTTCAAAAGAAAAATTCATACCTTACGGAGTTCGGTTTCCAACCAGTTCACCATCAGTGATGTGTCATAGAGATGTCGGATCGGGCCTAGCTTCGGTTCAAACTCTTTCACAGGCGCTGCGAGAGCAGGATTACGGTTGGTAACCAGTGAATACACTGGTAATGTCTCTTTCGACATCCACTGAAGATGACGATTCAGTGCCTCGACATCCACGCGGCCATCAATGTTGGCTGAAATGTTCACAAGAAACTTTGTACGAGTAGTCATGTAGTATGGGCGGAGTCACTTCGACCATTGGGTCTTGCTCATTGGTGCGTTCCCTAGGCGTAGACCACTAATAAGGTCAGTCAAAGTGGCCATGTACATGCGAGGGCGGGGTCACTAAGACCACAGCGCCTCCCTAAATGGTATTACTCTTCGGTGTGGTCCACCAATAAGAAGCAGTCGAAGTAACCAAGCACCTGAATCACTCCGACCTTTGCGCTCCCTTGTGTGCCCCTTAGGTATGACTCACCACTAAGAATCGGTCAAAGTAACCACACCCACAGGCATGCGTTTACAGTTAAAGAGCGATTAAACTAGTACCTGTTTCAGAATGATGAATAAACACCGTATGCAGGATAAGTTTCATACGAGTATCGCTCAGAACCGACATGGCAACCAGCGGCGGGGAGCCTTTTTTGATAACGTGCACATCGACTGCCAACCGCATTCTCTCGTTACGCTAAGAAAAATAATTTTGGGGAAAGTCGTTCTGACGGTATGGCCCATATCTCCACGTTGGAGTGAGGTGCCTACGAACTTGTTTATGAGCGCGACGGGGTGGGCAATTGCTCGTTCGGGTAGAGAGGGTCGAGAAACGTTTTCTAGTCCCGCCCACTATTTGTTATACACTTTTTCTCTAAGACAACTGTCTACGCTTGCAACCACGTCCGTAGGCACGCCCTCTCCAACGTTGAGATATGGACTGCAAGAAGTTAGAAGACGCCATGTGCAGAGAGAAAAAAGTGCGAGTCCGCAATTTTACATCAGCGCCTGGAATGGCCTGCAATTTTGCGAGGGAAACATTTCTCACCAAAAGTTTGGGAGCTCCATGTACCACAACCACCCCAGAGCATTTTCCGGGCGTTGTCTTGCTTGGAGGGGGCGGTGA